CTGTCAGGAAAACATTAAAGAAAAAAGCTAAGCAGAGCAGTCAAATCACTTAGTATAAATACTGAGTGGCAGCAAAGGCCTGGGTGGGCATTCTCTGTTTTCAGCAGTCATACCTGCAGTCAATACCCTGTGACATCAGGAGCCTTCAAAGCTATGCTTGCTTTCTCCCCAGTGGGCATCCTAACCATAAAATGCTATGGTCATGCCTTCTGCCTGGCACGATAAGTATTTTATGAACCCCTACAAAACAGAATAGCTTTTGCTGGAAGGAGTCAGAGAAGTTATGTCCAAAGCATTTATCTGGGAGGCAGGCGATGCAGGTCAAAATATTTTCAGAGCTGAGCCTGAATTTACTATATTCACAGTCAGTGGTCTTAAAGCTGGACTTGTGGTTTTAAGACAGCTACTGCATGATGCTAGACCTGAAAAGCGTATTCTAGGCTTCCTTAATGAAGCAACTTCTAGAGGTAAAAATAAATGGGATTTCAACCCCATTTTCAGATCTCAGTAGAGATCCAGTGCAAGTAGGGTATGCAACTGCTCAAGATTTTGACCTTTCCTAGCAAAGTATTTAGAGAACATTAGGGAACCATGGTTTATTGATTTCATTTGCCTCCAGACTTAGTAGCTAAGTACAAATACATTGAATCTACGCTTTTACACAGTGGCTGCTGGTAAGTGGTCAGCTTTCAGGTACTTGATTTCTGTGGAGGAACTGCTAAGGAACTGTAGTACAGAGTGGATTCCCATCATACAGTGGGTAAGAGTGTCTTGTCAGCTCTGTTAAAAGCAGGAGATCCAGAAGATCATCTCACTGATGAGAAGAGGTGCCTGAGTTGAATCTGTGTGCCTTGAGAATATCTTCTTTTCTGAGACAGCATTGGTACCATGCTGTGAGAATATCCCACAGACAAAGGTTGCTGAAAACTGACTGTTTCATTTAGATTTCCACTGTTCAGGAAGAATATCCCTCCCGTATGCTTGTGCTGCTTCATACTGCTCCCAGGCACCTGCTGTTGGCCACCATCAGAGACAAGATGCAAAAGATACTAACCCTTCATGTGACCTTGGACAGATGCTCAAATTCCAATAGTTTAACTCCAGCACCACCTCTGTTTAACATACATTTGCTGCTACCCATTATTCATTCCAAGAAGAAGGCAGTTTCAGTGATTTATCCTAAGAGGGGGATACCAGAACATTAACCTTCCTTCATTACTTGGTCTGTGCATTTCTTCCATACCATCCATTTAGTGCTTTGCACATTGCTTCTTACTGCAGGGCCTATGCAGGTTGAAAGGAAGAAGTAGTTATGGAGGACATAAGGCACAAATGCATACTGAAAACTGAGAAAACAGTATACACCCAAACCGAAATTTCTACCCTCAATGCATGTTCCTTTACACTTGTAAACTCCCTATTAATGATGTTTTAAGCACTGCCTGCATTGCTGAATGAAAATCAATTTGAAAGACATAGTAGAGTCATTGGAATCTTTAATTTAAATGTTATAATTAAATAAATGCTTTGTTTTTACCACTGCCAGAAGTAATCAGACAAAAGAAGGATCTTTTCAGAAGTTGGAAGATCATTATAGGTTTAACAGTTTTGTACACTAGTTTTAGAAGCTGTCCACAGCTGAATAAACACTAAATATTCTTTTATAATGCAAGGTAGGGTGTTTCAGCTTTAATAGCTACTAACTCATTTAGCTGTAGGGTAACACCAGGCTAATCTAAGGTCACCTGAGTCATGGCTGATATTGAATGGGAGTTGACAGCCTTCCAGAGTAGCACACAATTCATGATGATTTCTTTTTCTTTCTGCAGGAGCAATATTCATCTGGGATTGACACAATGCTGAGTTTCAAAATAATTAATTCAAATCCTTAAAGACTGCAAAATCAGACTACTTTTCAAGTTTTATCCCAGAAAAAAAATGTTCATCTGACAGAAATTCTGGTCTCAGGCAAATTACTGAATTCCAATAGAAATATGTTTCATAAACAACAGCAGGAACTGGGGACCTGCTCAGACAACACACATCAGGTTGTGTAATTCCAGTTTAAAATGATTCAGGCCACAGACTCTAAGTAGAATTCGTGGAAAAGTAGCATATATTTTTACATTCATGGGGACAAAACAATAGAAAAAATACAAAGCAACAAGGAAGGTATAGCAATTTTTTTTTCAGATTTAAATAAGATGTACTTGCAATGTGCACAGTTCCACAGATACAAAAACCCTCCAGTGACATGGTAAATGAAAAAGAACATGTTGAAATGACAGCCCTTATTTTTGAAAGGCACAGTATCTGACTGCATCATAAGCTTGAATTTATATGGTATATTTTACTACCTTTAAGGTTCAAAGTTCATTGTTCAAACGTGTGCATGCACATGCTCTCTGGCAGATGGAACTGTTGTGATTGTGTATGCAAACAGATTATCCTCCCCTGCAGACATGCTGAGTGTGAGTGTACATCTGAAAACATGCAGCCTATTTACAATTGTAAAATGTTGCCCAGAGCAAAAACACACTTCTTCAATAGTACTTGAAATAGTTATCTGTAATGCACTCTTACAACTAAGATTAGCCCTTTGAGTATGTCACACACACATATTCTCTTGTAATGTAACTTGGTAAATAACTTTAAGGCAATTTACCATTATATAAATAATTATAGTGGATTTCATGTCAGGTCAAGAGGAAATATGAAACTCATCAGTTAGGGGAAAAAAAAATAGAGGAAATATCATATAATTAGAAAATAATTAAAATTCTAATGAACCAACCTCTGTAAAGATGTTTGTCCATGAACCTATGGAAAGAGGGGGTGTTCTTTGGAAAGATAATGAAGTATAGAAAAAAAGCTTTGCCATGTGGCTACAAAGAAAATTAAACAGGTTATATATCAATCTGTAATAAATGTAATGACATAGGTTATGTAACTGTTGGGTGGAATATACCCACAAATTTTAAAGTCTGAGAAAACAGCTGTCTAAACAACCTACTGAAATTCCTTAATCCTCACTCTGTCAAGCAGTAAGAATTTTTTTCCAAAACCAAAGGTCTGGGACTGTGACTACAATCACTGGGGAGGAGATGGCCTATGTACAGACCATACATTCAGAAATGTTCCTCTGTGTCTGTGTCTCCATTTATAACAACACTTTGGATTTCCACAGCACTGTATTTGACAAAATTAGTGAACTGAAAAATTATATGTAAACTTCACAGCTACCAATCTCCTACCTTTACAACCAGGTGTTATGAGCAGGGTACCACACCTTTCCTTGGAAAGAACACAGAAGGTCAGTCATTAAAAAATATTAGCAAATCTTCCTGTTCCATTTGAACAATTATTTTTTTTTAACTAATTATAGATGGCTAAAATGTTTCATCTTTTACAGCTTAAAATTTCAGCTTCTGAAACTACTGAGGGAAGCATTTGAGAGACAGGGGTTGTGAAAACTTTTCCTGTATAATTGTCTGGGTTTTGCTTCCTTCTCAGCATCCTTTTTCCACTTGCACTCTATTTTGAGTTGGTTTTGGTAGCTCTTTTTTGTATAACTATACTCCTCTTTACTACATACCCTCTCGAATTCTGATATTATCTCTCTTTGTTTTGTGTGACACCCAGAATATTTGACTGCAATGGGCCTCCCTGAATTCCTCAGTATCACCATTACTGACAGCATTAGTTAGCCACCTTGGAACACTGGGAAGCTCAGAGCATCAGGGACAATATCAGAGCACAAGTTCTCTTTCTTTTCCATTTTCCTTTCTTCCTTATCTTTTCTCTTACCTTTTCTTTTGGCTTCTCATTGCTGATTAAGTAGAAATGCCTTTTCAGAAAAGAGGACATTTCCTCCCTTAAGTATTTGGGCTGGTAGTTAATGCATATTAAAACAAAATTATCTTTGATTTTCCCCTTCCCCAATATATTAGAAAGCCGCACTAAAATAATTTGTAGACTATTTTGCAAAGGGCAAAGTCTCACTCAGGACTCTTTTGTTCCTGATTAGCCTGACCACACATTCAATAAAGTGCAATTATAGATCTGCCCAGCAGTGAGAGTGTGGGAACCCAGGGGAGGAAGTCATGACTTGATGTTTTTCTCTGAAGTATTTTTCCATTGCAGTAATGAACAGTATTTAGGTTATTCTAAGAAGAAAAAAACAAAACAAAACAAACAAAAAACCACAGCAGCATTTTAGCTTTCTTCAAGTATTTACTTTTCACTGCTTTCCCTAGTTAGTGGTTTGATTGCGGTGTTTTGGTTTCGTACTTATAATATTTCTGTGGGGTATTTTCTGATACAAAGCTCAAGGCTGTGAGTGGAGAGGAAATGTTTCCTTGCACAAATGTGTTGTATTCATCTTTCCTAGTGATACCTGTTCTGAGTTAAATTGGTTAAATTTGCAGAGACATAGTCAATTCCAAACACAGCAGGCACCTGAATTTCTAGACAAGGGTATAGTCCTACTTGTCCTTTGCTGTTGTAGTCCAGTAGAGTTAAAATAAAAGGAATGTGTGAAAATAAGTCTACTGTCAGTCGATTAATGTGCTCCTTAAGCAGTAGTAAGCAATTATTCCTTTTATATAGATCTATTTCAGCATTTTGACAGGAAAATAGCAAAGGCCACCAAACTGGACATGCAAGTTACTAGTCATTTAGTGTAGGAGAATCATACCTTGATTTCAATGATTTGTGAATATCTGTTGTAATTCATAACTAATGAACCAACATTATTCCTTGAACTACCAGCTGCTGAGGTTGGTAATTATGTAAGAATAGCATCCCTGGTACGGTTAACTCTAGCCAGTTAACATGCAGGTAGTGTAGGAAGCAGCCCTTCACACAGATGTTAGGTAAAAAATAGACTGTTTAGAGTTATATGTGATGATTAGGATCACAACAAGATGACAACCTTATTCATATAAATAACACAAGTCTTTTAAGGCTATTGACCAAGAATAGTTATGCTAAACATGTACCTGAGATATTTGAGACAGAAAGACAACATAACACAGCAAGAATAGGACAACAGGTTTAGTACCTAGGTAGAGATTAGAGGGGTTGTTGGTTCTTTTAGCCTGCAGTTCATCGTCCTTAGATCAGCTGTACCTCAGCAAGTTACTTGAGCAGTGCATAACCTTTATTACTCCTGTTTGCTTGCTCAGGGATCCTTGCAGTTTTTCAGCACCAAGTGTTATCAATTTAATCTAATCTAATCTAATCAATCAAGATAGAGTCCTGGGCATGGAGCAGGGGGTATGTATTAATTTGCACTTGAGCAACATTTGCTGTAGTGTAATGATGCTGGTATTGCCTAGTGGACAGCACTGGTGGCAGATGCAAAGGAACCCTGATAGCCTGATAGCCAGCCTCCTCATTATCAGCAGCATTCAGACCAGCCAGCTTGAAAGCAAGAGTCATGCAAGGCATAGTCAGAGCTAGATGCTGTCAAATGAAGCAGGCAGCTGATGATAGCAACACTCTGTCCTGTCTGCTTTGCCCACAGCTGCCCCCTGGAAAGCTGAGCTGCCTGCTGATGATGCCAGGAGGAATGATGGGGTACATGGCATGCAGGCAGCTGCAACTAAAAGGTTTCTCTTGTAACTCTCACTCCTTGGAGCCCTCTTGGCACCTTGAGCAATGTGCAGACTTAGTAAGTGCGGTATATACGACTTAAAGGTATCAAGTAATTATTTATGGGTTTACTGTTTACGAGCTCTGTACTCAGTAGGAGGAGCTACTACTTGTACGAAGCATTAGTGTGCCCATCATAATGTCTCTGGAGGACAGCCAGAACTCTTTCAAGAGGGGAAGGCTTGGTCCTTGCTGCTTTCTGGTGTTGATCCTCAGTGTGGCTGACTTGCCATATATCCAACCCCCAGTAATGGTTTCTGCTTTTCATGTTCTTGATTTGCCTCTTGAATCCTTGAGCTGCAACCTACCCCTGTCTCAACAGTCCTTTCTCTTCAATTTTCCTTTCTTATCTCAAGTGGCTCTGCTCTACAGACCATTTCACAGCTGTTTGACACAACTGCACAATTTCTTCAGCAGCCTCAGCCAAAGATATGCATCTGGGACATACCAGACCTGGGCTGAACCATGGTGAGGGAAGGGATGCTACAGAGGGGGTCACACAACAATTTACCCTCACTGTACCACATCAAAAATATACCTTGGACCAGAGACAGTGAACCTTTTACCTTTTCCCTGAAACAGAAGACATTATTCCTTTCTCTCTCCCCCACCAGCAACTTCCCTCCAAGGCCCCCTAATGACATTAGTGGCAAGCTGGTCCCATGAAACAGCAAAATCCATTTTTATCACTGTTGCTGAAAAATCATTAGCTGCTTTGCTTGGAGCTTATTGTGGCAGTGAGAGCTGCAGTCATTAGCAAGGCAGTATGGACAACGTGCATTATGACAACACACAGGAAGCTTAGGGACAACTTCGTATGTGAAATCCAAGATTATGTAGATGTGATATGAACATAATCAGTCTCCTCTTGTTCTCCTGGTATCTCTGAAATCTACCTCCTGCAAAGAGCCCCTTTCATTAAAGTTCTTCCAGTTTAGCACAACAGTATGCAAACAAAATTAGTTCAAATGCTGTTTTCTAAGCGAACTGCCTGTCAGGTGTCTGGGGAGGATCATCTCTACTAACATCCAGGTTACTTAGGTATCACTTCTTATCATTGAACAGAGAGAGCAGAGTTCCCCTCGCAGGACTGGAACAAAACCGAGGAAAAACCTGGGTCTTTGTCCAGAGTCATCTTTTGGGATCCAGTCTTACAGGAGGATAGAGTCCAATTTTCTGACTTCTAGTTTTAGGTGTGCTGAATGATTTTATGTATATATATTAATTTTGTTACACAAACAAAATTTAAATATAATAATATATTTTGCTCCAAGGCAAAAAGTGATTATTGAAAGAATGAAGGAAAAATTTCTGTGCCTCAGTATATGCGTTGCGTAATGCTGTTGGCTAAATATAATTAATGAAGTCTTTGGTGCACCAGATGCTAGTTGCTTTGAGAAAGGGAGCATAAAACAAAAATTTACTGTCATCTGCCTAAAACTATATTGTATTGGTTTTGGTACTTGTCGGGTTCAGGACACTTCTGTGGCTATTTAACTGAGGAGGTCAAAAATGTCAAAATACCTTTCTCAATCTGTCATAGTAGAAACATTTGGGCTTCACTTTAGAGGCGTTGAAGCTGATGGGGATTTTGCCAATTACTTCAGTGAATAAAGCTTTTAATTGAAAACATGCAAACCATGATAAGAAAATCCCAATGTTTAACATGCAATTCACTGAAAATTCTCTTAGGTTTTAGAAACAGTCTGATGAAGATTTGGAAAAGAAACTATGCAAAGTCAAAATTTCTATATAACAAGCTCCTTCTGCTTCATTTGTTTCCTTAAACAATTAATTCAGTGCAGAAGTATTATTGAGCATAAGTGAATGCAAGGACTTATTTTAATATCTTATATAATCATTAAAAATCCCAGTCAAATATAGCAAATTTTGCTACTTTAAGGTTGATGTAAACATGAAGTCCATCCAAAATCTTTATGCCTTTAGCCTTGTTAACATATAATTTTTAAAAATTATTTAAATGGTGTGTGGGGAGGGTGGGCTTCAGGAAGTATAGTAGACATAGATGTAATGTTTCCAACAAGAAGAAGGGTATGAAAACAGCTGATAGCAGGACTGCTTTATTGCTGGGAGGCTTCAGTGAAGAGTAAAGAGGTCCCAGACCTTTCCATTTCACCCAGTAGAGGTACAGTACTTCACCTCCTCAGAGATCCCTTTGCACCACTCATCTGAGAAGGCAGCTGGATTTGGTTGCCCTGTATTTTGTATACTTTGTATGTTTTGGAACAATCTTCTTTTATCTCTTTCCTTCCCTTTCCCTGAGCTGCAGGTAGCAATGTCAGAAGGATTTAATGAGAACATAAGGAGCAGAGATTTTGGGTTCTAGTATATTTTGGCACACTTTCACAGTCTTTTGGGGCAGTCATAACTGATTGCATGTGTGTATGGTTAGCTATTTGACAGATAAAAGATAGCTGAACTAGACTTAAAATATTTTTTTTTTTTTGCCCTGGCAGCTTAAAAGTCAGTAGTATAAAAATCATATTCAGCACTGTTAAATCCAGCCTTCTCACCCCCACCATCAACACCCCCACCTTGTTCTGCTATTCAGAAACAGTGATGTTAATACATCTCCCGGAGACCAACTGGTATCCAGAAATATTTTACTAAATATTGCAGCCATATGTGCAGGTGTTGAAAGACGTTTTAGTAGGGCAGAAGTAAACTTCATGAGTGACCCAGGGGCTTTCGTTTCTACGGCACTGCTGCACAGGGAAGGCCAGAGGCAACAGTGACACCTTCTGATAAGAGGTGGATACATCTATTCCCTTGCTATAGCAGAGAAGCAGGATGCTTTCTGCATCTGCAGGAATGGGTGGCTCTCACCCATATTTCTAGTCTATTTCTGTAGTTTAAGGCATCTCCACAAATCCTTTCAAGCATAGGACCTTTCAGCTTGATGCAAGTTTCAGCTAGAAAGAGATGGTAGAGAGGGAAAACACAGGAATGAAGACTGACAAAGGTCGCCACTGGCAGAATCTGTGAGGAAAAATGCAACTGTGTTGTTTCTACAGTGAGGTCTTCCAGTTTTTAGAAGTTCAGTTTCAGAATAACGCCTAATATTAGTATTAGATACAGTAAGTCATCAGGTCATCGGTCACTGCAAATAAACACCCTGCAGAAATAGGTTTAGACTTGTTTTTGTTAAGGAATCATTTCTAAAGATAGACAGATTTAACCGCAGAGAGAGAGATATCAGGTGGTGAAAGGACTAGATAATAAACACAAAGGCTTAGGCTAAGCAAAGTATATTTTGCTTAACACAGATGAGTTGTATCACATTGCTTACAGGGAGAAAACTTGAAATAAAGGACCTGTCTGTTCAAGAATCTAAAAAACGATGTTCATTGAAGGGAGTGTAATGGGATTCTGTTTGCTGCGGGAAATCTGGGTAAAATACAATGCACTGATTTTCCATTCACATTACCATAGGCACAAAATCCACTAAGCATCAGTGACAGCATTTTGAGTCTCGTGTTTGTGATTTGTCAAAATAAAGCACAGGTCTAAGATCAGTGTGTGGTAGGAGTATATGTTATAAATTCTAGCAAGAACAAGTAACCAGTGCAGATTAAGGGTAAATGGGGCTTGATATGCTCAGATCAATATCCTGCCCTTGTTCTCCTTACACTCGCATATCACAACCAGTCAGACTGCTTACAGCACTCGAATTCCTGTCAGGGTAGTTTCCTCCAGAAGCTCCAGAGATGGACAACCAGGGGACATGCTAAGGGACAGTGGTCATCTTTCAGCACATGCACCAGGATGCTTTCCAAAGGAAAACACAGGAAGGGATGGTACATGCTGCATTTCAACCTGACATTGTATCAAAGCTCAGCTGCAGTATATATATATATATATATATAATGTATCTGGCAGCTGCAAAATATTTATTTCTATCCCATACAAGAAATAAAAACCCTTAGTTCTAGGATGAGGCATTGCAATTGTTTCCCCACTGAAAATACAGGGCTTAGGAGCTCTAAAGAACAGGGTTTTGAATAACAGCAGATGCTTATCTCTTTCTTCAGCTAAATTGCTATAGTAATAATGAAAACTATTTGATTTAATGGAAGGGTCTATTTTTATTTTTTTTTTTTAAGAATGTCTATCTTTAATAGCCTAAATCCAGAATTTGTGAGTCTACTGACATCTCACAGTTAAAACTTGCTGGAACTGCATATTTCTGTCAGCCTTAATATGTCTGCAAAGATGAAGACGAAAATTCATCAATTTTATTAGCCATAAACAAGAGATTGATAATTTGATTATCTGCTACTGAATAGTAACATAGGTAGACACAGATACCAAGTCTCAGCCTGCCTAACAAGGCTCCTTTTCAAAGTAATTTTACTAAAAATTTCTGAAATTTATTTCCTTAAGGCTTTTCTTCATGCAAAATTGTAGAAGTAAACCACAAAATATTTATTTAAATATGAACATTTTTCTGCCATGAAGGTATCTGAATCATACACTGCTTTA